ATAGATTGAAATCACTGTGCCTATTGCACATAAAGCATTTTTATAGCAAATGGTTTCTAAAACTGTTAATACAAATTAACATAAATACAAAACACAGCTACTGAAAGAGGCCATACTTCTGTGAATGTGCATATCTTGCTTTATTTCCAGCTAAAGAGAAAACTACATTTATCCCCTTCAGACTATCAGAAATGTGGTTAAGTAAGAAGGAAAACTCATTCTTGCTCTGTATGGGTCAAACATGAAGCCAAACACAGAGCTGTCTCTCTCAATCACATCTGAGAGGTTTTAAGAAATGCAGTTTTGTGATGCACTTACTCAACAGTCCCTCAGATACTGACACAATGTGCAGTAACACAAATGCATAGGAAATGCCAGTGACAAAGATCCACCACAGTATTGCTCTACAAAACATACTGCAGATGTGCCTCTTTCACTCCAAGATATTCATCCCACCTGAGATGAAAGGCAACTCAGAAAATAAAAGTTTAAACACTCTCCGACAGTTTGAAATGATTCATAGTAGGAGGCTGAATCTATCATATAGAATACTTCCAGCCCAACAGGATTATAACAATATCACTCCAGTGTATATTTTCAAACCAATAAATTTTAAAATTAGCTTCATCAGAAGTTTATTAAGGGTCACAGTACCTTAAGTCTATAGTCTCAAAAGTATGGATTTCTATTGAGAAATATTTGTTGTAATTACAAACAACTGCATTTTCCAATAAACACAGTCAGTTATAAATGCCATAGTTTAAGGGAACATAGCACCCAAACGCAACATGCTGATGATCAGTCAGTCAATGCTACTAAATTTTTATAGCATAAACATTTAAAAAAAAAGTTAATGATCGTTATTTATATGTGATAGTATATTACCTTTTTTCTTCCCTCCATATGTGTTTCCTGAGACGATGACACAAGAAAGCCACAAAAATGAAAGAAGTTGCAAACTTTTCATTTTTTGTTCCTCTGAATGAGAGTTCTGCTAAATTCTGCCAAGAGATGGGAAAAGGAAAGAATTAGCAGGGCTTTGCAAGAAATTCTTTGCCCATTAATCATTAACCCTGAATTCTCCTGTCCCCTACCCCGGATTTTCCTTTTATGGAAGTGAAAATGGAATTTGCCTGTTTTCAGTCTCTTCATTTTCATTTTATGTCACCTGTGGCAGAAATAATTTGGAACTGGATCCTTCTACCTCGCTCAACAGTGCTCAGCTCTGAACACAGGGGGCTTGAGGGCATTTGTTCTGTGAAATACTGGTAAAGGCCATGGGTAGCCAGTTCAAATTCAGTTCGTCAACAGCTCAGTCTGAACACATTGTAAAATAATGGTAAGACCTGAAGGTTAATCTAAATATTTCATTAACATAGACAAGTCTCAGCAAGGGAAGCATCAAAATTTTATATATATGAAACCCTTTCTCATTTCATTAGTAAAATTGGTATCGGATTTTGGATAATCATTAAGTGTTTCAAATTAAGTGAACATATTTTAACACATACAAAATTTAGTAATGAAGCACAATTAACCAAAGTCTCTCTCCACTTCCAGTAAAAGAATCATTAGAAAATGCGTGTAGTAAATGTAGGAGTCCTCTCAGAGAAAATGTTTCCACTGATATGGTGCGGCTCGTACTGGAAATCAGAGCAAAATTTTAATTGCAGCATTGTGTGCATATGCCACAAGGAATAGAGGTGCAGTGCAAAGTGTGAGAGGACCAAAATTACCCTTGGATAGGCAGCCAGTATTACACTAAGTTGGATCTCACAAATGAGCAAGACACAATGGTCCTCTGGGCCACCTTAGCATCAGCCTGGAGCATCCTAGTTTTCCCACATCAGTTCTTGAGACATACTCTAGCACATTCTAAAGGACTGAAGTGCCAATTATGATGTAGCTGTAGCAGCATAGGCCTTGGGATGGGCTGCAAATCAACCTGCATTTCTACTAATCATGAATAAAGGAGAAAAGCGCAGATCACTTCCTTCCCTTGCTCACTCCAAGGAGCTTTGAGTCTAGGATACAGCAGAAAACCCTACAAACTGGGTTTGCAGGGTTTCAGCCGGCAGTGATCTTGGCACATCAACATCTGAAAAGTTGTTGAGACTGATTGATCAGTTTGTGTGTCTGAAAGTACATTACAAAAAAGAGGAAATACAGAAAATTAGGTGATAGGGCCAAAATTACTCTTGATAAATGATAAATGCTCTTCAGGGCAGCATTTTCAGTGAGTAAGAAAAGAAGACAGGAGATAGAACTTGGACAAGAAGAAAGAACAAGACAAGACAAGAATTTAGGCTGTGATGATGGACAGGAAATGCTGTATTTTAGCAAAGTTAACACTAGTGGAAATTACTGGTGTGATTTAGCACAGCCTTGCAGTGAACTCAGAAAAATGTTAGCTGAAGATGATGTGAAGATGACAGATCTGACTGACAGGTTGAATGGTGACATAGCCACAGTAATCAAGACCATTTGGGGGAGAAAAATTGCAAGCTCTATTTTCCGCAGACAGGAATTGTTCTGGAACAAGGTGGGAGATCTATTAGGGACAGAACGGGCTGTTGTGATCTTTGTGAAGAGATTGCCTGAAAATAAAGACTAGAGGAATCAGTCTTTGGATTTACTTCCCACTATAGCGCCTGTGTTGGGAACCTGAATGACATTATGAGCATCTTATGAGGGATTGCCTAAAGTGGTAAGAGGAAAACGGGGAAAACAAGGAGAAACCTGCCTTCCTTTGGCAGGTTTTCACTTCATTTAGCAATTCTGCATCAGCCATTGCCAATATTTATTTGTCTTTTCAGTGTTCACAAAGTATCACCAATAATGGTGACGGCCCTAAGCAGAGTTGTGGGAATAATTGTGCAGCATTTGAACGAGAGGTTTCACAGAGCATATTCAGGATGAGTTTATGTAGCACAAAATTGCATGTTATGGCACATTAGTCCACAGAGAGCAGATGTGATGGTGTTCCAGAGGAAGGAGCTGCTTCCAATGGCCTCTACAGCATTATCACACAATGTGTTTTTGGAGTGTGGGGTTGGGTTTTCTTTTCATCTCCATTTGATTTACTTGAGTAAATCCAATTGCCTTTATTATCTACTCATAAAGAAAAGAATGAGTCACCTGCAATGTAATGAACGTTAGAGGTAAGAAACTCCCAATAAATAATTTTCCTGTGAATCCAAATATTGAAATTGGGATGTTTGCTGTTTTCAGCTTGTTTATCTGGTCACTTAATAACTACTTTGCTTGATCTGTTCTCTCAGATGGGTTAACTGCTGTTTGTATTGCTATTGCATATATAAAATTCCATGAATATATAACCTAAATTGTTTTAGGAATTAGTTCTTGATGTAAAAAGAATAACAATAAAGAGTCTTTGGTACATTGTGAGAATAGAAAGAGCGGAGACAGGTATTTATCCGAAGGGGCTGTGCAGTAGCTACTCAGAGTTACTGGCAGCACGTTGCATCACATACCGGAATGGCTTTTTTCCAGCCACATTTGGATCTGTGTGAGGTGCAGTGATTGGGAGCCGCAATATTCTGGGTGGAAATCACTGCGGAAAAGAGAGAATCCTCTGGAAAAAAGAAGATGCTCTAGGTCTTCTTATTAGTCAGTCATGGAGGATGCTGAGTGAAACTGGATATATCTGAGGCACTAATAGTTGTCTGCTGGTCTGCTGGGGCCATATGAACTGTAAGACTGCTCTGCTGCAGTCACTGGCAGTGACAAAATTTATAGCAGCTGAATAAACACAGACATTAGAAAATCAGGGAACAGAAATCTCAGGGACTATAAGGAAAGCTGTGTGGTTGATGGCACCTGGAATATACAAACTACACTGTCCTGATGTTACTGTCAAGAGTGAGTGTAAAGTTTATTCTTTAGAACTGGATATATTTGTTACTCATGCCCTGGGTAAGGCAAGTGGATAATTTGGTATTTGCAAAAACCTTGATGCGTAAAAAATATCTGAAATTAAATTCTTAAATGTAAGGTTTGATATGGTTATGGTTAAATAAGATAGACTTAAAATTTAAAGGATCCTTTTAAAAAAGAAGTTATTCTGTAGATATGATTTCTCTTTCCCATAACAACCAGCATTTGCACATTACTTCATTGCCCGCATTGAAATCACTCATACCAACTGTAGTGATCTGCATTCTAAATTTAGAAATACAGAATCCAAACTGCTCTTCTGTGAAACAGATAGAAGACATGTTTAGTATTGCATTGAGGCCAATGCTTTGCCTGCTTTACATGAAATGGTATCTTTTCTTAAACACACACAGTGTACTAAGCCCAATTTCTAGCTTGTGTTGGTGTGTTTATATCTAGTTTGCATATACTGTAAGAGGGCTTGATAACCTTCTCTGTTCTGCTGAGATGCTGCTTGTACAATATATACCCAGGAGGTAAACTCTCAATCACAATCCCCATCTGCTTCTTGGCTAATGTTCCAATTACAGTTAGACCTCTTGCACATATTCACATCTGAAATAAAATTGATGGTTTCACTATTGAGAAGCAGCATGTGACTAATGATGCATTGTACCATGCAAGTTTTCGCTTAAATGTATCTTTCTAATCAAGTTAAGTAAAGGAACACAGGGCACAAATTTGTCAGGCATACAGTCCTGCCTTTTCCCTGAGACCACACTGTTCATCAAGATGGTTTTCAATCACCTGAAGACCAATAATACTGTAGTACAAGATGTTCTTTCAGGTTTAGAAGAGATTTTATGGGCCAGAACTTCAGCTAGCATAAATTGGCTTCTGTGCAGCTCTAATGATTTTCACCAGCTGAGGATCCACCCTGTGTTCCTATAATAAGCCACTAGCATCTGAAAAAAAAGATTCATGTGATGGTTATGCTAATACATCTGAGGTTATAGAGTAAGAAAATTTTTATGTGGTTGAATTTTTAATGCAGTTTTTAAATCCAGAATTTATTCTGCCTGTTTTATCTTTCCTAGGATTTTAAAATATCAAATAACTCTGAAGAGACAGTTTTAGATGGAGTTTTGTGTGTGGATTCATGGCCTATGTCAAACATACAGCAGCTGCATGTGAGTCCAAAACTTCCTTCACAGCACTAGCTATTGAGCCATCAGACTTTTCAGGATTAAATTCACAACTAAATAATTCATCAGCAGACTTTGTTTTCTGATATGAAAGAAAACCACTCATTTGCATGAGCATAGTGTTGTGAAATAGGAGTTTCTCCTGTGAGATGCATTTCATGCTCTGTAGCTCCTGATAAGGTAGTCTTCTTCCATGACTCATCACCCAGAATATTATCTCACTTTCCTTGGATGCACATTTGGGACTAGGCATTGCATTCTTGCAATTTTAAGTTTCGTTTCAAGTTTAGCACATTTTGTATATTTGTACCTTTTAATAAGTTTTGTGTATTTTTACCTTTTAATTATTTTTGAAATATGCTACACTGAGCAGTTCGTATCATAAACAGCTGTAAACAAAGAAGAGAACCCAAATACAGCTGCCAAGCATAAATATAGTTGTACAATAAGTGGGTCATCTGCTCCTACTTCCAACTTTAAAAAAAGGCATTTTCTAGTTTGTTTACTGAGTGTTTTTACTAGTTACTAACTAGTTTGTTAGCTGAGTGCTTTTTGCAACAATGCGTTACTTGTTTGGTTGCCTTAGACGAATGCTGTTTCTTGGCTTGTGTGTTTGTCTTTCTCATGGGTACACAGTGTTCACTTGGGGTATGTCTCTGAAAGCTTGACATATCAGAAAAGCACAGATTAGATGGACCAAATAAAAGGGAAGAACAGATCCCAACACATCTGGACTGCCCATGCTCTTGCATTATGTGTAGGATATTGTGTGCTTGCTATCACCCCTGCCTTCAAACAGGTGAGGAGCTGGCCTACTCCCTGCCTTTCATGACAATTAGTTCTATTCTTCAGCAGACAGGGCTGAACTTCCCTATAGTTATGCACTACTGGAAAGGGTAAGTGCAGCTGCAGACTTTTTATCCATCTGCTTTCTTAGTCTTATTTTGGATTTTTGCTGTTGTCAGTGCCCTGTTTCAGGGGTACCTATACAGCCTGTAAAATTTTGAATTGAATTTAGATTTTTAAAGCAGCTTTTTCACAGGGCTGTGATGTGTGGGAAAGCTTCCATGAATCAGCACTGCGGTGGCAATAGATTTAACTGTGAAGAACAGATGTGCTTTTGGAAAGCCCAGCCTGCCTGCTGAGGACATTTCCCTTCATTGGTCCGTGTAAGAAACAGCTCAACACCTAAAATAAAGCTCATTGGAAGGCTGAAACCCAGCCCAACCTTCTCCCTCCCCCCTGAGGACTGAGCGTGATAGTTTTAAGCAAAACCAACACAAGAGCAATGCTTTTTGAAGCTGCCTTGCTTGCTCACCTCCCTCACATCAAACAGAAGCAAATCTGAAACAGATGAATCCATGGTAAAACCAACAGTGTTCTCTCCCTTCCCTTTCTAGCCTCTGTATTTAGGAGGGAGAATTTGTAACAACAAATAGAAAGCAGATTTGTTTCAGATGTTGATTGAGGGTTCTTCTGAATAAAGAAGGCAGCAAGGACAAGACAAGCAGGGCTTCTTGCAGGTAATGTATTTGAAGGGATACACATGAAAGCACTTAAAAGGCAGAGAACCCTGCTGAAGTAAAGGAACTTGAAAGACAATAAACATTCAAGTGCTGATTGATGATGATTCTTAAAGCTTAACGTGCTCTCAGGAGTAAAACCTGGATCTCCGTGGAGCTGCTGTCGCTGAAATTGAGTCTTTATGAAAAGGGAAGAACAAACAGACAAGAAAGCTGAAAGAGGAAGAATAGAAATTATTATGTACAGAGTAATTGTGGGAGGTGCAGACTGTTTTAAGTGCTTAATTATTGACCCCAAACATTTTGTTTGTTCCAGGACCTGACACAGCTCTTGCTCATCCTAGTAGAACTTAGATATTGGATTAGGTAGACTCTTGGATCTGATATATTGTGGCAGTTCCTACAGTTCTACAAGATTAGGTAAGATTATAGGATAGAAAATTGGCTTACTTTAGGGATGAAGAAGCTTGAATACTTTAAGCATCAGTTAGGATAAACATGCATTTAAAATCTTCTCCAAACTTTCTGAAAATCTGGTCTGAAAAACTGCCTGAAAATGTTCCAGATTAGTACCAGAATTGTTGATTTTGTTCACACAAATAGTAATTAATGTAGCCTACTAGAAAGAATTTAAATGCTTGTGTCATTGTTACTTCTGGAACTGCAAATCTTTGATGTCTGGATAAACCATAGGATAATTGATTAGGTACATTGGTATTCCCAAGTCCATAGTTGTTGAAATGATTCACAGCAACAAATCAGTCAGTATTAGATTTGAAGTTACCATGAATACGAACTCAATTTCTTGGTATTGTCCTGTAAATACTGATGTTCCACAACTGAAGTGGGAAGAGCTTTTAAACACTGCATTTAGCACAGATGTTTCCTGTTATAACAGATTAGTAAAATTTCAGTATTCAATGGGCTTTTAACACCCACCCTCCATCTGTGGTATCCATTTTCAGCATTGTGGAATAGGCCAAAAAAGCAGACATATAATTAAAAGAAACCCCATCAGGGTGTTTTCTCTAGCTCCACTTTCTTTTTTTTTTTTTCCTGTGTTCCTTCATTTGTGTGTGGAAACATTTTATGGTGGCAACATGGATAAGACAAAGCTAGTTCTCCATCTGGGAGTCACACTTACTGCAGACAAGTGCACTGCAAACAAGCCCTTGAGCATATGCTGCATCCATGAGTGCTAATTGAGAAAGTCTGATTACGTCAGTTGAGTAAGAATAATATATTCTTTGCCAAATGACCAGTTTGTGCTTGTGGCTTTTAAGTAGCTGTGGTTCACCAGAGTGCTTCAGAAGTGCCTTTGCTCTGAAGAGGAAGCTGAGCAAAGGGCTGAAAGCAAGAGGTGCTCAGGGACTGGAGGAGCACTGTGGGAGTAACAAGGTCACTAACCAGGAGAGCTGCCACAGACACAACTCAAACAAAATGATGGTAAAACTCCTCTTTTAGTAACTTGCTTGGGATATAAAGGAGGAGAAGGGAACAAGCTGAGCAGTGTCTGTGACCATGACACACTTTGCAAACACATACAAAATGTACTGTGTAGACCTACTTCTCAAGTTTCTTTCATGCATGTTTATTCAGGGTTGACAGCCCTCATTTCTCAGTCACATACATACAGGTGCTGGATATATGACACTAGAGACCTGGGATTTGGAGATTACTCAAATTTTTACTTTTGTTCTGTTTTCTTCTATATTTTACTGTGGATTTGCACCAGAAAAGTCCATAATGCCTTTTGAGACAGAACAACAATATCCAGTACAATATTAAAGAGGTACAGTGTCCTGTAAAAGTGACTTGAGTGCTCAGGAACCTTCTTGAATGTAAGAGAGATACTTAAAAAGCTTGGTCTGCCTAGTTATTTTAAAGATTTTTAAAGCCCTGGTCAAGAATTCCAAGTACAAAGATAAGTATATTTTTGATGCTACAATTGCACATTTTTACAGTGAGGGGAACCCCAGGATATCTTTATCGATGACATGGACAGTGAGATCAAGTGCACCCTCAGCAAGGCTTATCAATTGATAATTCCCTCCCTGATTCTTTACTTCCTCCCTGACACTGGTAAGCCATGGTTCAGCTCACCTGCCCATGGGGGTTTCAGACAAACTCTATGAGTCTCCCCCTTACTGCAGTATTGTTTACTCTTTAAAGGAGTTCCCTTAGAAAAACAATATACCACATACTGTGCAACATCAGTTGTGTATTTAATGGCAGCATTAGTGTAGTTTACAGATTGGAAAGCAAGCAAAGCAGAGAAAAGTAGCCTTTTTTTTTTCTCAAGCAGTTTTTTCTGAACAATTTCGTTGTCCGTTAGGAAACGACTTAAACCAATTCCACAGTCAGTCATCTTGTAAGCAGTAATGTTGTATCGAGTGTTTAAAATGTGAGTTTAGGAACTGGGTGTTTGTGTCTGGTTTCTTTTTGTCGTTAACTGATGGGTAAGTCACTCAACTTTCTGCTGGTTCAGATGTCCCGTTAGCTAAAGGCAATTGGATAGTACCTATTTTTTGGGAGTGTGATGAGGCTCTGTAAATGACACTGTATTTTCTGAAGGTGTTACACAAGTCGAAGAAATAATGTTGTATCTAATTGAATCCTTCAATCTAACAGATGGGAGCAAAGCTTAAGGAAAATGTTGAACTTTTTTTTTTCCCCTTGCATATTTCTGCTATTTTTATATCTCAGAAGTAATTTTGAAATGAATACCTCTTAAATGAACATAAATGTTAACAGAATACATTTTCACACACAGGGTTATGTTCCCACATCAAAACTTTAACTTCAAATATACTGTGTTTAGGCCCCACAGGACAGATTTTAAGAGCAGGGAAGCAAACAAGGCTTCTGACTTGGGAACATGATACTTGTCTTTTCCAAACCCTTATCATGTTATGTGTCTGTTGAATAACTTGCAGGGCAAAGCATAGGTGTCATTCTTGTGAATTTTCAAGGTAACTGGGAGGTTTATGGTGGCTGGAGAATAGGTCAGCAGACTGAAACACATTTACGGTGGAGAAGAGCAGCACCACTGCAAAAGCCTCACCCATGGGATGCAAACTTTTCTAAGTCCATACTTGCTGTGATACCTTGGGCTTGTTCTTCTTTATCAGTGTGTGTTCCTTCATTCTGTGCTGAGGCACGAAACCCATGAAATCCTGGGCAGCCACTGTTGGCTTGCAGTGCCTTCCCAGCACCCTTAGGAAGAGCACAGGAGCAGCAGCTGTCTTTCCCCTGGAGATTTAATAGCTCAGTGTCCTGCTATGTACCCCTTGCTTTTCTGTTCTAATTATAACCTCAAAATTATTATTTGTTCTTGATTTCCAAATTCCGTTTGGCATCTTGTACTGGAATTTCCTGCAGAAGAAGAATTCAGACTATTGGATAGAAACCTTTCTTGTCGTGTTCCCTCAGAGATGGTCCAATCTGCTCTGCAGTTCGTGCATGACCACTGGTTAATCTGGCAGTGCAGGAACACACATTTTAAAAAGCAGGTTCTGGAATCAGCCTCAGGTAAGGACCTCAACTATGTACCCTGAAATTGAAGAGTTCAGTCCCTACCCTCCTTAAAAATGTAGTGTTTTTCAGCTATAAGGTATATTGTGGAAGATAACTCTCGAAAATCCAGATGTAACTAAAACTGTGTGGTTGCAATACACTGACAATGTTTTCCAACTTGCACCACTGGCTTAGGGCAATTTCCTAAAGGTGACTGAGAAAATCAAGCCCATTCACGGTAGGTTTGAATTTATTGCTCATGGGCTCCCCCCTCCTCTAGGAAAAAAAAAAAAAAAAAAAAAAAGTAAATCAAAAGATGAAAAAATGCTGCACTTTGGCAAAGAATTGGATAAATGCTTTATACTTTATATTTGTTAGGTGTAAGTCTGCACCATTTTATCCAGTATACTATTTATAAAATCTTACTGAATTACATGTAAATATTTCTTGTAATGGGCTCTGGGAATCTCATAATGAAAAACAGAATAAGAGTGCAAAATATGTTGTTGGGGTTTTTTGTGTTACTGGCACATTACAGAAATGCACAATTTATTATAAATACAGTAATTTCACTTTGATACAGAAGGTCTAATAAAGATGCACCTTTGCTCAGGACCTTGAATCTTGGTTCAGAAGAATATTTGGAAAGCAACTGGTAATTAAAATTTGGGATTTGGGATTTGTTTCTTTATATAACTACAGCACCATTTTAATCCTCTTAATTATTTTAGAAAAAGTTATTGTGTTTCTGACAACCACATTCTATATTGAAAAAATGTGTCTTCCAGTCTCCTTGTTCCAGATTAGTGAAATTACCATGTGAAATTCTACAAAAGTTATTACAGTTTAAATACTTCAGGTTTTTTTTAATGCAAAAGAGATAAAACTGAATTCCATTTGCTCTGAAATGACAGTCTCCAAATGGCAGCAAACAAATTCCTCAAAATGTTACCCCTGCCTGTCCATTCTGTACAGTATTTGTCAGGAGATAAGTTAACACAAAAAAATTCAAATAATTTACTCATACTTTAGGGCTGAGTAGAACATTTAATGTCGCATTTTCCACTCCTTTTTGCTGCAGAAATAAGAAATTCAAATCAAGAAATGAGAATGTGATTATATTTTTATAGGTCATATATAATGTAAATTTTGAAATGGTTGCAGAAGTTTTCCATAATTCTTTTTAGTAAAAAGAAAGCCTGCATAAAACCTTTTACAAGTGTCCCTAGGGATCCCAGTGAAGTGGTGATAATTTTTGTTATAAATTAATCTTAGAAAATTTCATAGTAGCAAAAATTGAGAACATTTAAAGAAATAATACAACTCTAGGAACAATTCTGAGATATTTTGACTAGCATAACCTAAGGTCCAACTTTCAAAGAAACTGTATATTCCTGATTTTAATTCTCTTCTAATTCCTCTCCTCTGAAAATAATCAATTTCAAAATAAGTGGAGGTTTAGCAATAGGTAGATTTTACAAGAATCACTCACTAAGAGGGGGTTTAAGGTCGAGCATAAACATATACCATGAAATAACAGAATGGTGTGAGCTGGAAGGGCCCTTAAAGACCATCTTGTTCCACTCCCCTGCCATGGGAGTGGCACTTCCACTAGCCCAGGTTGCTCAGAGCCCTGTCCAGCCTGGCCTTGAACACTTCCAGGGATGGGGCAGCCACCCTGTGCCAGGGCCTCACCCCCCTGTGATGGTTCGGACTTGGTTCCCTGCCAAATGCCCATCCCCCCAGTAGCAGCCCCTCTCTTCCCCCTTCCTACTTCCCCCAGGGCAAAGGAAAAAAACTATGCAAATTGAAGAACCCGAAAATCAAGCTAGTTATATATAAAAAATATATATTTTATGTATATTACAGTTAAGATGCTATGTACACAGCAAAAGGGAATCCAAACACCCCCCGAAGGGATAGGGAAAGGGGAAAAGGAACAAAAGGGAACAAAAAAAAGGACACCGAGCAGATATACGCAATCAAACCCAAGAACTAGTAAAATAACTAGTAAAACAAATCTCACCACGTTCCTTAGAAAAAACAGGATTGACACACACACGGCCAGCACTCCCCAAGCCTTCACGTGGCAGGTTAGTGGATGCTGCAGGCCTCAGCCTTAGATAAGCGAGACCAACGCAGGGACCCACTGTTCCTGAACTTCATCAGAAGAGAAGAGAGCGAAGGCCTCTCCTCCCTTCTTACATATACCTTGATTTACATAAAAATTGTATGGAATACTGGGAACACTGCCCCTTCCTTGGTTACAAACCGGTAACCAGGGAAGGCCTAGATTAAAACCACCACACCCCCTCACAGTCAAGAATTTCTCCCTAATGTATAATTTAAATCTTTCCTCTTTCAGTTTAAAGCCATTCCCCCTTGTACTATCGCTCCATGCCCTTGTAATCAGGCAAAGTCCCTCTCCATCTCTCTTTATTGCCCTCCTTGGATACTGGAAGGTGCTCTAAGGTCTCCTTGGAACCTTTTCTTCTCCACGTTGAGCAGCCCCAGCTCTCTCAGCCTGCTGTCATAGGAGAGGTGCTCCAGCCTCTGATCATATTTGTGACCATCCTCCGAACTTGCTCCAGCAGGTCCATGCCCTTGTTTTGCTGGGTGTCTCCAAGCTGGACACAGCACTGCAGGTCTCTCACAAGAGTGGGGTAGAGGGGTAGAACACCCCCCTCAACCTGCTGGGCACACTTCTTGTGGTGCAGCCCAGTCCTCAGTTGACATTCTGAGTTGCAAACACACTGCAGTTGGCTCATATCCAGCCTCTCATCCACCAACACCCCTCAAGTCCTTCTCCCCAGGGCTGCTCTCACTTCATTCTCCACTCAGCCTGCATTTGTTCTTGGGATTGCCCTGGCTCAGGTGCAGGACCTTGCACTTGGCCTTGCTGACCTTTGGGAGGTTTGCACAAACTCAGCTCTCACAGCTGTCAGGGCCCCTCTGGATGACATCTCTTCCCTCCAGTTTTACTCTTTCATTTAGACTTAGGTAGAGTTGGTCTACATCGAAGAACTGGTGTATTTTCCAGTTTATTTTTGATTTAGTTATAGGTCCTTGATATTCTTTTTCTCTTTTTCAAGGCTTTGTTTCATGCATTGCCTGTGTCATTCATACCTGTTCCCTCTGAGAAGAATGAAATACATAATGAAATTAAGTTCTTACTTGGAATTACAGGATGTGTGTATCACATTTTAGGTTTCATAGCAAAGGATATCCAGGCTGTCTCACTGGCAAATCATTACAGTTCTAGTCCTTGGGGAGCCATTAGTACTGATATAGAGCATATCACATAGAGCCAGTGTCCATCAGGAGTTATGACAGCCTAAGGAAGGCGGGTTTGGACATATTATATTTTGCTTGTATTGTATTTTGAGCTATGTATCCCTGTATTTTGCTGATAGATTGTCAGGGAAGCTATTAGTCTGGATTACATGGCAATGATTTCATTTTATGAAATGAAACAAAAAAAGCAAGCAAAAGGAAAAGCTTTTGGCAGAAGATGATCCTATTACTTAGAAGAGAAAAATCACTTGATGCTAAATTAAATGCTTATCAAAATGAATACAACAGAATATGAAAACAAATAATTTAGATAATAACTTTGAAATGAGGATTTAGACAATATTTCTTCATTCATTCAGTGCATGTGATTTGCTAAATCAAAGCCATGGAAGCAATGTTATGATGAACACTTGGCTTTGCAGTGATAGCTACCAGTAATGAACTGCATGGCCCAGTTACTACAGATGTGATAACAGCTGACACTGTAGAATGTTGGCAGTATCCTAAGGTATAAAATATCCATGTGTACCATAATTTCTGAAAGGAAATGCTTCCCTGCAAGGCTGCTTGTTTTCGCTGTGGCTTTTGAATAGGAGTGGTGCTCTTCTGTTAAGGAAGTTGGTTTGGAATTTTATCCAGGCAAATGGGGTGCATTGAGACTAGCAGGTGCAGAGAAGGAACCCCCCTGAAAACCTGACTTTTTAAAATAGTTGACCTTGCATCCCAAGGAATGTACCCAACATGTGCCTGGAGAATTGTGCTGGAATACCACAGGCGCAGCAGAGCTCTGGGACAGGCCCTGGGGAGGCAGCTCATGGCACAGCCGGCCCCTGACTGCACCTCAGCACTGCACAGCTCTGGTCACCTTCCTCCCACAGCAAGATGCCATTATGATTGTTTTTGGAACTGACTGGTTTATGAGAAGAAAAACTTTCAGAAGAAAGTGAATAAAACTCCTTAAAAATATGGGATGCCAAAAGGAGAATTACAATACATATAGGACCATAAATCTATGAAAAGCTGCAGTGGTTGGTATGGTGCCTTCTGGTAAATAGGTTTCATTTTTCCATTTCTTTCAAGATTTGTTGTACAGTTTTGAGTGACAGAAGCTCAGATCTATAGAAAATGCAACATTTTGGAAGGGAATATGTTCTTTTCCCTGGAGAGGCACTCTGGTCACCTGAAGGAATACTGATCCTCCACCTTGGGTGATGACAAATTGGATGTCCTTTAAAAATATTCCCGAATTATACTTTTATTGCAGACCTCCTGGGGAATTTTTATGGTGTGCTTTCTAGATTACTGTGGTATAACAATTTTAAGTAAAGGCAACATAGGCATCACATCTTTTAACTTCAGCTGCTAACCTGAAACAAAAAAAGCATCCTTTGTTTGCAGTTGTTGGACTTTGTTCAGTCAACCTTTGAAGAAACAGAATGTGCCTTTTGTATAAATCAGGACCAGACTTAAACACATGGGGCAATTTGCTTGCTGCATTTGAAGTAAAGATTTGACATAACAAAGGATATTACAAGAAACTGCGGTGAAGTTAAAAAAAATCAGTACTGAGCTAAAGTTTATTGCCAGTACTGTTCTTGTAGATCAAGGCTATGCTAATGTGGTCTAGGGTTACTTTAATATTTTGAGGCCTCTCATTCCCTCAGTGGATGTTTTAAGCAAGCATATCACTCACTTTTATCACAAAATATCTTGATAAAACCTTCTGCTTTGTGTTGCTCTCCTGAGGTAAAAAGTCATAGGTAAGTTAAGTCTCACATTGTTTGTTCCGGCTTCATTATGTTTGATGAAAGAAATATCTTGGTCATATCTCATAACATGCAGTACTTAATAACTGGATTGCTATAAGAAAGGACATTTTTTACTTGGGTAATGAAATTGTATCCTAGTTATTTCCCTGGTCTTCTTTGTATGATACCCATAGAAGGTTGACATCCTTAACAAGTATTGCACAGCATGATGGAAAACCTTGAAAAGG